GACACTTTAAGTCGCATATAAAAATGACACTAGGAGAGTAATCCCAGGTATAGCACATTAACTACACTTAAAAAAAATACATTACCTACAGTAAAATCTGGCAGCTGTGGTTGTCAATAAAAATATAGTAAAAGTGTAAACAACTTTACAAAAAACTGTTCATTGTAGTTTCAAACTTTTAACAACATACGATCCTAATGTACACTGATAACAGGGAATTCTGGGAATGTCAGTTTACAGCTTTTTTCAATGTAAACAATAAGATTGGTTCTTTTTTACTTTTAAAAACGGTTCAGTAAAAGTGTTTTAAAATGTCCCGTTAGATCTATTACAGTGTTTCCCCGTATAGTAAGGGAACTTACTGTGAACAAATTAACAGGTTTTTACTGCAGCATTTTACAGTTAAAAGTCCAATATATATATATATATATATATTTTTTTTTTTTGCCAACTAGAAAGTTTCCAAATATGTCTTTATTTTGAACACTATACAATTGTTTTTATCATTTTAATCCTTAAAATGTCTTGCAAAGTGTGTTACAATAAATACTGGTTTGATATTTTGCAATATAATGCAATGCAATTCATTCATTTTTAAGTCTAAATACATGTTTTGGATCACTGTAAAAGTACCCAATCTCACATCAACTTAAGTAAATAATGGCATATTTCTGAAATTAAGCAATTAAATGAATTATTTTAATAATCCCCATCAATCCTCTCCAAAAAACCCCAAAAAACAATGTGATATAATCTATAAGTCTAGGGATACAATGGAAAAAGAGGACCTTTCAAGTACCATTTAAGGCATTGGCAACAGGTTGAGGTTGTTGAGTGAGACTGAGGAGTTATGCTCTCTATTTGTCCCAGATGTGTTTGATTCAGATCAGCATAGTAGCAGTCATGGGAAAGTGGAAGTAGCACATTTTACATGATATAAATATGGTGACCTATTCAAGGTAATCCTCTAAAAAGAGATGTGTAAAAAAAGAAGCAAAGAAGATGTTACAAATTAAATAAGAAAAAAAAAAAAATGTTTGAGAACTAATAGGAACAGTCTTTGACATGTGTTCCTCAAGGATCTAATTACATATTTTCTTGACATCTGCATGGGAATTACCTCAGACAAGAGGGTTTGTTGCATTTCCATCTCGGATCCTTTGATTTACTGTCTTGTGACCTTTACTGGAAACCGTATGCATGCTGCTGTTCCTGCGAGCCAGGGAAGATCATCCATTCGTGTGTCATCTCCTTTGTGCTCCAGAAGAGCTGTGGGAGACTTGGACACCACGCAACGGGCTGTGATGGCTCTCCAGCATCGGGTCGGTTCTCCGTGCTCCAGGGCATGTTGATATTCCCACAAGGTGTGTTTTTGAAACGCTCTCGGTCTTGCCCTGCTCCGTTTCCCTCCTTTGACCTTCATCATCTTGCTGCCAATCCTTTCACCCTGGCAAGGCTTGAAAGTGGGGGATACAGTGGAAGAAAGTGAGAAGAAAAAAGACGGAAGAATGGATGAGGGGGATTCAATAATGGTGAGCCAGCAGCAGGCCATCCGCAGGATTTTATTGTTTCAGCGTGCCATTCAGCATTTGTTTCTGATATAGGGCACATGGTTGCATTTAGAGGGTTTAAATGAGATTGGTGTGTACCGTCTCGTTTCCAGCATACGTAACTTTTGCTACTTGTATGTAAGAACTGTCCTAATAAAATTCTTAAAGCGACAGTTCACCCCAAAATAAAAACGTCTGTCATGATTTACTGCTCACACTCATGCTGTTCCAAAATATAACACAGGCTTCAATGGAAAAACGTACCTGTGGTAACATTTCTGCTAAACACGTACCATCACGTACATATAAAATGTATGAAATATCCACAACACATAAGGGTGCACGGTTTATCTGTCGATCTATGTGTGTGAAAGTTGCGGTCGTTGCAATAGCAACAGACTCCTGGTGCAGTGTGTTTCAGAATCAAACAATCCTTGTAAAAAGAAGAACTTTTGTTGAGATCACGAGAAAATAATAATAATCCTTTTAGGGCTTCTGTTTCGGACAAAACTGAGAACGCTTTAAGCACCACTCACTGGACATTTCACTTTGAAATAATATATACGATACGATATACGATAATATCGTAATATCATTTTGCAGAAAAGTTACCGCTGGTACATTTTTCAAATGAGCCTGGGCTGAATAAAAGTGGATGTAGACCAAGGACTGTCACGCAAAACGGGCATAAATGCATCATAAACGTAGTTCATACAAATAATGGATGTAACCACAATATGGTTAAACCCTTATTTAGTGAAAATCTTGTCAGCCTTTCACTTTCATTAATTGCAAAAGAGCAGCTTGGAAATTCTGCTTGATATCTATTTTTTTAATCCTATGGATAAAAGAAAGTCATACAGGTTTTAAAACACATGAAAGTGAGTACACTATACAACATTTTTGAGTGAGCTATTCTAGCTTTAAAGTCATCATGAAATGAAAATTCGCCCTCTGCTTTTTAAATGTTATCAATCTTATTGTGAACAATCTGTGCATATTAACACCGTTTTGACCTCATGTTTAATCAAAATGTCATAACTGGACCTTCTGGTGAAAATGACAAACCTCTCTCTGGTGTGGTATGCAGCACTTCTCCAATCATTTCCCCCAGCAAGCTCAAGTGTATCTGCCTCAATTTTTAAGTGCAACGCCCACATCTCAAAACCCAATCAACAACCGATGCATAGAACCAAGTTTCCATTCTACATTTTCGATAAAATGTTACTCTTAGATGTACGTCACAATATGGAAGAAAAGATCTGCCACTATTTCCGTTTCGTCAATCGTCTACTTTAAAAAATATAGGCAAAGAATGAAGTGGGCCGGAGGCAGACCTTAAACAAATTGCATACGAATGGATGAAAGAACAGGCTTCCTTTCTTTCATTTGTTGCCTCTGACCTGCCTTTAGACATGGGGGAAGAGAAGAAATAAAAATAGCTTGAAAAAATCAATCCCTTATGGTGGAAAAGAGCTTCTTGGAATTCATTTGTGCCTTCTCCAGTGTCTGCCTGGTGTGGTGGCCATGTCGACATGAGCGGCTCATACAGATGAGGATGAACACAGAGAAGATGATGAGGAGGTCATCTCGTTGTCTGGAGACCATCCTTCTTCTCATGCTGAGATTCATATTGGTTAAAGATGACCGTGATGGTTAATGAATACTGACGCATTACTTTGTTTCGGATGCTTGGCCAAGGATACATCCTGCATTGTTAAGAAGGGAGAAAGAAGGGGCTAGAGAAATTCCTGAGAGCATATGGAAGAGTGATACAAGTTTACACGTAGTACACAATCCCAGCTGTATATCCCCATGATACAGGGGTCTAATTCTGCCAAATGATTTAAATCGAATGTCTGAGCGAAACCATTTCCTCTTCCCTCGCTTTCCAATATACACATTATACAAAATACATACATTGTATGCATAATCTAGCGAGAGGGGATGAGGGATTCAGCCTGACAGGTCTCTGCATACGTTTTCCACTGTTTTTCTTCTAAATGTCCCTGAATCAAGAGCGAGTGGATAAAGAATTTATTAACAAAATAATTTCCCAGCCCCAGAGATTCAAAAACAAGCAGTTGGTGGACCCCGTGAGCAATCAAATACCAAACTGAAGAGAAACACTGAAAAATCCATGAGAATGGAAAGAGAAAAAAGGTCACAGACCACAACGCTCACAGCTACCTCTAGTGGCTTGATGTAATAAAACAATACACTTACACAATGAACGCATTATTCGACACATCAATGTGAATAAAGTCACATGGAAACTGAAAAGGGGCTAAAGTTTATAAATCCAAGTCCATATGCTAGCCGATGGGAAGCAGTAGAAGAAGTAGTAAACTTCTTTCCATTTGTGATCGACGAGGTGTGGAATTCTGGAAAAAGAAGCCCGGATCATGACGTAAGGTGATTAACAGGTGTCAGGAATGGACCTTGAGCTGCGCTGGAGTAAGGATTGCCTTTCAGCGCACAACCTTCCCCTTCCCACCAGTCCGCATGACCGTGAACCCCTCGGCTACACCATTAAAACGCACTGGCTCCCAAAACAGCCCCGTCCTGCACACGCACCAGTGAACCTCCAGGCCCTGATTGCTTCCACGTTGCTTGAGTAAACATCTGAGACGAATTAGGCCCTTGTTATTGTTGTTTAACTCTAACCACATCGTGCTGCTGCGCTGCAGGAATAACAGTCCCACAATGCAAGGGCCAGTACACGACAAGTCGAGGACGGCGATGGGGGCCACCGTGACACTTCATTACAAATGTGTGGAGGGACCTGCCACAGGCCCAGCATACACAGGTCCCATTATCTACATACCTAAACCCCTACCAGACTTCCCTTAACACCATTGGACCTTTCTACAAAACATACGTCTCCCAAGACTACGGCTCTGTTCTTGTCGAACATGGGGCCCTTTCTTCAAATGTTGGTTTTAGATTAGCCATCTAAAGTTGTTTTCGACACAAGCGTTAAAGACATGAACACAGCACTGTGATATGGTTTGCATAAATGAGCGCTTTATTACAACTTCGAGTAAATATTAGTCTGTGTCAAAGACCTATTGAGTAGAAGGTTGTTCATATTGATGGTTTATTCAATCTGATCACGATACACAGCTAAATAAATTAAACCTTCTGTGCCTTATGTCCGAGTTAAACACAATAAGAAAAAAAAAACAAAGAATACACTAGAGACAAATACAAAAAGAGACATGAGAAAGTATTTTCCTGAAATAGACAACATGGACCAGGTGGAAAGAACATGCCATCCTTGTTGACACATCGAGAGAATCTTCTCGACGGCCGACTCTCGTAGCAATACTTACAGTGTTTTATTGTATCATAAGAAGGATTACTTGGTCTTCCCTTGACCAAAATAGAAGTTTTGGTTCCCAACCCAACACAAAAAAGTCTCTCGGGTCAAAGGTTAGTGTCTCTCAGCCTCATTCATCCCCAGCTGGCATGTTCTCCTCGATCCTTTTAATGAACTTCATGCGAATTTCTGTCACATTGTCACCTCTTAGCGTGTCCTGAGCAAACCGCACATCCACCGCCATTTGAACCTGCAGGAGTCGAAAAACGACCGCAGCGTGAATGGCAATTGAGGGTTATCAGAAGATACATCAATTCATTTAACGCAAAAATGCTCCTTACCATTTCAAGAGCTCCTCTCAGCACCCCACAGAGCAGGTTGGAGTAGACCAGATTATTGTGGTTGTCAGGAAGCTCTACAAAGTCCACCAGGGGGTTGCTTTCGAGGATAAGAGAGAACTCGTCTCCAGCAGGACTCCAGTTGGTCACGCTGGGAGTGATACCCAAGTACATCTTGAAGGCTACCTGTTAATGTGAAGACAAAAAGGCCCTTCAGTCTTCATGTTAACTCACTTGCCTACATCTATGATGTCAAGGCCACATTTAAGTGATTTTGCAGAGCTGCCACATTCTTTTTAGGTGCTGTATTCACACTCTGAAATGACTTGAGGGGCTTTTGCACGACTGCACAGAACGGGTTTAAGGAGAAATTTTTAACCCTTTGAATGTAATTAAATGGAAGAAATGATCAGGGTGGGCCATAAGAAAACCAGAATATTGCTCATTTTACATCACAGTAACAGTATATCTCACAATATGGTTTTGTAGGACATTAAATAAAAATGGTTTATATGTTACATATTACATTTTTTTAACAATCAATACTTCAAATCAATACTTCAAATGAATGTTACTATTTCAAAATGTTCTCTTTTCACTTGGAACCTAGACTAAAAACCAAAAAAGATTATTATATGGTTGAACGAGATATACTAGGGATGCATTTAGTAGGTTATTGGCCAATACTACTGTTTATTTATTTATTTATCAGTATCTTTCAATATTGGACATTTAATAATGCAAGCTCGTTTCCCCTATTTTTTTTTACATTTACACTTTTGTCTTCAAATCTCAAAATTAATACTTATTTCATACTGTATACATCATAATGTTGTTATGCCTAAAATCACTTGGAGCCAGAGCTGTTTTTGTGAACTATTAAAATTCTGTAATTGAAATATAGCTGAAGAAAAAATGTATTCATAAATAAATAAGGTTAACTTGAAATACTAAAATAACTCAAACTAAAATACATTTTAATTAAAGCTATATATACTGTAAATATTGATAAAACCCCAAAAGCTAATAAAATGACAAACCCACATAGCAAACTTTCTTTGAAACATATAAAAACTTTGAAAATATAAAAATAAAAGCTAATGCCAAATATGAATAACTATAATGGTACATAAATAATACTAAATGAACACTGCTTGGAGCATTTAAAACAATTCCTTTTCATTAAAATTTTGAATTAATTAATACACAGTAATATAGATAGACCTTTACAGACAGGCCATAAAATGATAACAATTACCGGCTTATTGTATTGAACAGAATTTTAATATCATGCATCTCTTGATTACATCCATCAGCAAAAAAGCTTCACATTATGCAACACTTGAGCAAAAAAATAGCTCTGAATCTAAATTCTGTTTGGACGAGCCCCATTTGAAGGTATAAAATAGCCGAAATACACAAACCTGTGAGCGCACATCATTTGAATTCTATATTAATGCTCCCAGTCGCGGCGTTCCTCGACAACTGTAAACAATTAGACTAAACGCTTCACATTTTAACCGTCATTAAAGTTGTATTAAAAAGTGTTTAAAGGGATCAGGGTCCCAGCAAACCGATGGGTTCTGGATTAACATTTGACAACGTGGCACACGCAGAGGAAAGTGAGGAGAGAAAGACAGAGAAAAAAGAAGAAAGGAGAACAGACAGACATAGACCAAGCAAGCATGGACAGGTGACGGACAGTGGGAAGAACGCTCTGTCAATCCTGTCAGTGTGAACCCAATACGCTGAGGGTGAGGTGCAGTGTTTCGTAAAAAAGCACAGTCTGTGGCTCTCACAGACCAAAGAAAACAAGCCGAGAGGAACATGAGTGTCTCGGTTCACTCTAACACTGCACAAACGGCTCGCCAGTTGGCTTTGCGGTAGCATAGCGCGGATGTTTCTCAAGCTGTGTGACTCTGAAAAATTAAAACCGGTAGAAAGATGTGATGAAAGCTAAGAAAGTATGTGGGCTACTGCAGGTTGAAGTTCAAATTCCAGTCACTTGCTTGCGCATTAACATGCTTGCTTGCTTTTTGATTCTCTCTCTCTCTCTCTCTCTCTCTCTCTCTCTCTCTCTCTCTCTCTCTCTACTCTCTCTCTCTCTCTCTCTCTCTCTCTCTCTCTCTCTCTCTCTCTCTCTCTCTCTCTCTCTCTCTCTCTCTCTCTCTCTCTCTCTCTCTCTCTCTCTCTCTCTCTCTCTCTCTCTCTCTCTCTCTCTCTCTCTCTCTCTCTCTCTCTCTCTCTCTCTCTCTCTCTCTCTCTCTCTCGCCTGGCCTAAGGGAGGGCTCAGCATGCGTTCTGATTGGTTCAAAGTACTCACGTTACCTTTGCAATGACATCGGCCGTTTCTCGGAAATCGTGACACCTCCCCACGCTGGACCGAGCCAAGAAGTCCTCAATCAGACGCACTCCGATATTGTATCCCCTTGAAAGGATGGAAGAGAAGGGAAACTGTGAAACTGTGTCAATGTCAGAGTAACTGCTTTCATTCGCCCTCATTTCACCCATCAACCCAATCATAGGAGCTATAGTCTCTTTTTACTTTGAAGGTTTTAGTAAAGCCCTTCAGCTTCAAGTACTCGAAAAGAAAGATACAAACTTGTTTGGCCAGAGAGAAAGTCAAATTTTGCTCTTGCTTATATCATATTGGATGCTTTAAAGAAGCAGGAGGGAAAAAGGTCGTATTACAGACGTGTTGCCAAACCCAATATCAGTGGGACTACTGGATTAGTTCAAGGCACGGTTTAAAGGCACACTGTGGAACTTTTCAACCTTTATAATATATTACCAAAACCCATTGAGATGGTACATCGACTTACAATAGGTTGAATGACACGTCTGCCGTAGCCTGAAGGTGTCTGTATCGCTTTTCCTAGCACTATGTAACTTCGGGTTTCGGGTAGGAACCCGAGCACAAAAAGAACTACAAAATTCAACCGCTTTACGGCATACGTCACTTCCCCCACCACCCACAACTTCCTCAGATTCTGACGTGAGTGCTCAACTCGCGTTTGATTGCCGTCTGTATGTTTTCGTCATGGCCGAACCAACAGCTACAAGGAAGAAGGCAAAGGTTTTGTCAGAGGACACTAAAAAAAAAGAAAAAGGCATAGTGACAAATGAAAAGCCAGGACGAGGATCACCATTGGTCCAGCGTTCGCTCGCTGGCGTGAGCTAAAGGAGGAGGAGGGGTGCCCGACCGATGCTGACGCTTGCCTGCACACAAATGCCGTTTCCAAGGTGACCCAGATAAATCATATAAGTAGTGTAGTATTTTCTGGTATTCCGGCCACAGCCGATGGTGTTATGAGTGTAATAAAATGCCCACAGCCCATTGTTCATTTCTACACACAAACACAGCCCGCCACAGTGCAGGGCTGGCACAAATAAAGTCGACTCATGTCAAATGTACATTAAATGTAGTGAACGTGCCCACAAACACTACACACAACATGTCCCACGGTTTCTGTAAAACGAAACCAACACACTAAGTTACAGTCAGCTCAGGCCGACGGTGTTTTTAGTGCAGTAAATGTGCCCGCCGTCCCGCGCCCACATTCACTCACAGACATGTTAGCACTAAGCCCCACGGGGCTCGCCCCGCTCGCTCTCTCTCAGCAGACTGCTATAAGGGAATCGAGCGCGGCAAGGCTGCCCGCCTCAAACACTGCAAGCACACACAAACACAATCTAAAGACACGGGAGGCTGACCCACTGTCTATGGGCTGACCGGTTGACTGTTTGTTGCAGAGCTTGTGGCCTCTATGGACGCTAGACGTGAAAGTTACAGGTCGAGCGCCACTAGTGGCCAAAAGTTCCGCGGTGTGCCTTTAAATGAAAAGACCACTCAGCCAAAGAATACACGCTGCCCACTGATTCTCTAAATCACAACGGTTGGACTCCACGCATCCTCATGGCTTTTCCCACAATCTTTAAAACAGTGCTTCTCAACTAGTTTTGATTCAGGGCTCAGATTGTACATTGGACATCAAGTAGTGACCCAACATAGTACCAAAATTGTTCATCAAACAAAAGAAACAAAAATGTACTTAATCAAACATAAAAATGTATTAATACAATTAACTACACAGGCCTAACAATATGAAAAACTGTTACAAATTTTTTTTTTTTACATAAAAAAATTGAGCCTAATATTGTATTAGGCTGCTGAATATGAGAAATGCATAGCCATTCGTGCATTTAAAAAAATATTAATAAGCATGCCTCAATACGTGCATGTAAATGAACTGATTGATATTTCAGTGCAATTAAGGCCCTATTTACACCTGGCAAGATGCGTTTTGGTCGATCAGATGATCACAAGTGGACAACAGGTGTAAACAGGGTCTCAAACGTTCTGAGCTTGTCCACTTTCGACCACTTCCAGAGGTAGTTGAAAACACATTCGACTGGATTGCTTTCCTAGTGTAAACGCTCATGTGGTTGAATGTGTTTGAACAGCCACAAAAGACCGCCTACTGACCTAATGCGTAAACATTATGTGAAGGGCGCTAGCCAGACGGGATTTAAACTTTGTCGGCTGGAGACCCCAAGTTTGGCTTGAAGATGAAAAATATACCAAGCATAATGTTCTCTCACTATTCCTGATTTCTAACACGCACTCATCCAGCGGGGTCTTGCGGCTTCAGAGCAGAAACAAAAGCTGCGACTCTCCGTATGTTTTTCTGTCATGTCTGGGCACGTTCATATGTAAATTTCGTGAGCTTATTTCGTTCAATAGATCGAAAGATATGAAGAAACCAGGACAGAAGTGGTTGAGAGTGGACAAATGAGATTAAACACCAGTTGTAAACGGGTATGTGTCTCCCTCGTCCACTTGTGATCCGATCGACCAAAATGCATCTTAATACCAGGTGTAAACAGGGCCTAAGAAAAGAGCCAATAACTGACATCGAAAAACATATTGAGGTTGGCACACTCTGGGTCACACTCAGACTGCTCTGGGTCATATTTTCTTTTACCTTGTGCAGTTTTGTTCAAGGTTTTGAGGATGCAAGCTTGTCATTCAACATGTTTAGGTTGGCATCTGCCTAATTTAACTAGCTTCCACAAAGTTATAGATGAATTAGCACCCTACCCATCACAGAAAATGTCCTGCATTTTTATATAAAAAAAAAACAAAAAAAACATCACTTGGTATGATTTTTAAGTTGTTTTCCTCATGGGGACCAAAAATGTCCCCACAAGGACAAGGATTTTGGATATTGCCATCTTTGTGGGGACATTTTGTCCCCATAATGTAGGGTTTACCAGGCCACACACACACACACACACACACACACACACACACACACACACACACACACACGACTCTCATCCAGTCTTTCATCTGCATCCTCTCTAATGGTGGAATAGAATTAGACGGGAGCAGAATCATACATTTGAAAAACCAGGGGTGTAACCTACAGCTGCACGATTCATTTAGCAGGGTGGGGAGAGAGACCGCTCTCGAAAAACCTGGAGTGGCACATTTTAAATTCTCAACACCACCCAACCCAACTTCATCAAACTGGATGGCACGGTAGGACAGGGCAATCACCACACCTAATACACTAACAGCCTACACCCAGCACAAACACTGACGATACAGCATCCACTCTAAGCCCATCAGAACTCTGCTCCATCCCTACTTGTTGACTAATGGAAAACTGACTGGACAAATGTAAATGAAATGGTGACTAGCATCTGAAAATCTAACCATTTTCCTTACACTTTCATTGAATTTTTTAACTAAAAAATTGTCTAAATGAAAATAGAAAATATTGATGTAATTTCTAAACAGTGCATATAATGTGAGTAGATTGGATGAATAGGCGGGAAAGGGTAAAGGCAGACTCACATTTTATCCAGTTGTTTGTTGACCTCCTCATCATTTTCATAGTCTTTACACAGCTGAGTGACCAGGGCTCCATACGTGAGAGTGAATAATTCTGAATTCTGTTCAAGAGAAAGATCAACACAAAATTACCCATCACCATATTTACTCCGAATTTAGTGTGTTACCTGAAGAAGAAAAAAAAGACACTGAATGTGAATACAAAATAATAATAATAAAACTGGATCAAAAATTATAATACAGGTCCAAGCTTTACATTAGATAATCATGGAGCCTTTTTTGCTAACAGCAACATTTCACAGTAATGTTCAATTTATTGTAGGGAAATAAAAACAGGGTCAGAAAATCATTATTTTTCTTATTTTGAACCATGCATTAGTTTGTATTCATCATGCAAAGAATGTGCATTTCCAACCAGCCTGTGATCCATTTTTATTTACTCGATATCTGGTGAGTGTTACTTTTGCACACCGATTAAAATGTTTACATTAGCTGCAATCAATCAAATTCCAATTTAAATAACTAAAATGATTTAAATAAAATAATTTAGAAAGAATAAAATAATTTAAAATAAATAAATAAAATGGTATCCATAGTATGTGGTCTATGGCTCCAATGTTGTTTTTAAATCCCAATTTCCTTAGTTAAAAACATTTTGTTAATTTTTTTTATTAAAAATTCTATAATAATTTGAGTCAAAGCAGAACATCATTTTTGTAATAGCCTCCTTTTGCTTTAATGACAGAAGGCTTAATCAAATCCACAAGTTTGTGTAAAAGCTGATGATTGTGTTCTGCCGCATAATTTGAGAAGATCCACAGACCATCTTGCACTAAATTAGGAGTACATTAGTACAAAGGAGTTCACATGGGCACAATTTTGCTTATTTTAGTTTAGTGTCCAATAAATAATGGAGTAATTGCATCAAAACATTTCTTTCCATTATTTTAAAATCTCAGGCTTTCAATATGGTTTTAGACTTCTGAACCCCACTATATAGGTTCAAAGACACAAAGACTCAGTCCTCCAGTATATCATCATCATCATCATCATCATCATGGGGAATAATCAGGTCTCAACGAATGAGAACACACAGTGGTCTTGAGCGCCCTCTCACGGCAAAAAATGGAGTTGTTAAAAACACAAGTACATTTCAAAACGTAACCCAAACAGAATAAAAAATCTAAAAACCCTTACATGACACAGCTGGATAAATCTATGTGTGTTTATCTGCTTTCACTACTGTATTGTTTGGTTCGTATTAAGAGTAGCCTACAGCTACAATGCCAATTGCCTTGTGCAATAACATTTGTGCAAAAACAAAATGAATGGCACATAATGCATTATGCAATGAAAGTAAATCATTAACGAATCTATCATTCAATAATTTCCCCAAACGGTTATTTGAAAAATTATCTGCACATCTCAAGATTTTTAATTCAAAAGCCAGCCATGACTAATGGAAAGACTAAACTCATTTCTAGAGGAATAAACTAACGCATGTCTAAGTAACAAGTAAAGTACACTACACTATATTTATTTTTTATACAAATAAACAAGCACTACTCCAATAAACATGTTATTTATCCGATGACGATAATAATAGCATGTTAGCTGGCTGCCCTGTGTTTGCCTGAGATCTACGGAAACACAAAACACACTCACCATTTTCTTGCTGTCGGTGGCTCTGTTCGACTGCCTAGACATGATGTCTTATATTACAGGTGTGTACACAGATCGCTTACAGGTAATATTTTATTAATCTGCTCAGTGCAAAGACAGTCCCGTGATGTTGTTCCTGTCACTGTGATGGATTTACTTCCTGAATCGCCGCTGACAAGCCGGAAAAGTTGCTTCGCTTTGGATTGTGGGTACTGTAGTCAAACTGTAGTTCTGAACAGTTAAAGGGTTACTTCACACAAAAATGAAAATTCTGTCATTAATTACTCACCCTAATGTCGTTCCAAACCCGCAAGATTGTCGTTCATCTTCGGAACCCAAATCAAGATCTTTTTGATGAAATCAGAGATTTCTGTAGGCCTATGCATAGACATAGGCCTAGGCAACTGAAACTTGGAGGCTTAAAACGTTCATAAACAATGCAACACAATAGCCTACTCATTCTCTGTCTGCACTACAATATCTCTCTTGTATGTTAGACTGTTTGGTTTCTAATCCTGGCACTCGACTTTGTAGGACAACCTCCACACTATGCTACTCCGGAGTTTTGCACTGTCTGTGTGCTCTCGTGTATCATTAGGAGTGTCTGATAGGTGTAAACAGTGAGAGATCGTGTGGCTGGTAGTGGCCGGAGCGATGCTATAGAGCCACGAGCGCGCACTCCCATACGGGTAAAAATAGCAAATAAAAAAACAGATAATATGAGATATAGGTAAATAAGATATGTATTGCACTGTATGTGTGCTTCTGTGTATCATTAGGAGTGTCTGATGGATGTAATTAAACAGTGAGAGATTGTGTGGCTGGTAGTGGCCGGTAGTGGCCGTAAACAGCGAGAGATCGTGTGGCTGGTGCGACGCTTCGCTTAGGCACGAGCGCGCTCCCATACGGGTAAAAAGAGCAAATAAAAAAACAGATAAGATGAGAAATAGGTAAATAAGATAAACAGATCAAATAAACAGTGAGAGATTGTGTGGCTGGTATGGTCAGAGCGATGCTAATAGAGCGAAACGCGCGCTACATTTTTTTTTTTTTAACCCTACATATTGTGTAAGTTCGAGTGGCCGGCGCATATATCCGTGACTGGTCGAGTGGCCGGCTTATATAACGCAGTGGCAGGCGCATATATCCGTGACTGGTCGAGTGGCCGGCGCATATAACGCAGTGGCAGGCGCATATATCCGTGACTGGTCGAGTGGCAGGCGCATATATCCGTGACTGGTCGAGTGGCAGGCGCATATATCCGTGACTGGTCGAGTGGCAGCTGCAGCTCCCCCTGCCACGCAAAGATTTTACCCCGACCGTTTTCTGCACTTTTGCTATTAATGAAACGGAAGTCTCGCACATTCACAGAATAGCACAATGGTGGAGGAATTCAACTAACGTAGGCCTACCTTATATTTTGCCAAGCCTATGTTTACTAGGCCTACTTTGCTATTGACAAATTTTTCTTCGCTGAGGCTATAAGTAAGGTAATAAAATATGTTCAACTCCAATCAATATTTCATGTCCGTGTGTATCATATGTATTTATTTTTGTAAGTTACAGCGTATGGTAGCCGTTAAACAGACTAATATAGAGATCAGGTCATTTAATTATCATAATAGAGAGTCATCACACTGTCAAGGATTTACTGATAACGACCAGCTCACAAATAGGCCTAATCTTTTTTTCTTCAAACGTGGACCATATCTTAACTTAGACCTTAACACCTTAACAAGATCGAGGTTAACACCTTAACAGCAATTCTAAAAAAACAACCAGTAATTCTCAATCGAACACATGACACTATTCTCTTCTTGGTTTTTAAAACTATTTAAACAGCTGTATTTATACTCACAGATGCGAAACTGCAGCATTTCTTTCTTCTCCCACTAGATGGCTGTGCAACGACATGTATGTTTACAATGCAGGTGAGGTAGCCTAAAACTTTCAATTTGCTGAAAGTGGTGTTATCATAATTTCAGGATACATTTACACATCAAAATGCAGCAGAGTTTAATTTGTTCATACCAATTTGCCATACCAGTTTATAATCTGTCACCATAAAGAACATAGACCTCATTTGCCTATACTAAAAACATTACATGGTCCCACTCCTTACATGACCACTTTCTCTTTTAAAAGATTTTTAGGGTTCAATTTAGTCCAAAGATTATAGGTTTTAATTCAGTGTAATGTCTATATGTGATTTAGGATTTTTAAGGAAGGCCATGTTGTAACCACTGAAATACTCAGAAGTGCAAAGATATTTTGTCTATAAAATAATCTAATATTTGTTTTGCCCTTTTGGATTTTATAAATGCAACATTTGGCAATTAGTATTACAAGCAGCAGCCATTGTACATTTTCACCATCTTAGAATATTATCTTGGAGCACATTAGAATTTCGCATGGCAGTATTCATATCCTACGGGAAGAGATGTGTGATATTTCCTTAAAACGATTATTTGCAGAGCTCTAAAAACTGAGATTTGGACAACAACACTTAATGTCACGCTGCGCTGAGTCAGTTGATCTCGCTTGAGGAGAAAAATTCTGTTTCTGCCTGTTCAATAGCAGCTGTCTCATTTTCTCTCCCAATGTTTTCTTTCTCACGCTGTTCAGACTGGAAATGATGGATAAGCTCCTCAGAACAGACTCGGAATAACTTCATGTACTCGGAGCAAATACCAGCGAAACCTCAGAGTAAATACCAACAAACCCAGCAAAACCGTGTGATCATAAGTTGCAGACGTCATATCACAATATATAAATATTCTTATGTTTTATTTTTTTTATTTATCTAAGCTATTTGGCATGTCATTACCAAAATACTAAGGGAATATGTGCGGGTTAGGAAAAGGCTGGCTTACATTTTAAAGTGGTACTTTTTTTCTTTTTTTTATTATTAGTACACACATTGTTTAAGTTTCTTATATTGGTTTAGGTGACAACATCATGATATACAAAAGTCAAGTTATTAGTCGGTATACTTTTCTTGTGATTTCTAAAGGCTTTTATCATTTCTCAGAGTAGTGATTAGTCATCCTACCATAATGTTGCTTGGTCCACCCATCACAGCTTGCACCTATATGTCAGTGATCTCTGGCTGAACTTTTTGGAATGTTGCTTAGCAAAGAAGCAACACAGAAACAGTACAATCTGGCCCAAAACTCTGCACAAAAGCCGTGGGGAAGGGTATTACCCTTATTTCACAGGATATATTCTCACAACAATCTCTAAAACTGCAGCTTTGAAGGAAAACAGTTGCTACAGGCTAAAGTTTGATCTGGAATAGTTGCGGGGGCAGCCAGTGGCAGTCTGAAAATCAATGAGGTGCCTGTAAGGTTTTATAACACGTGATAATAATTGCAAAATGAAGAAAAGCACCCCCAAGCTCCAATGCTATCTTTTAAAATGTATTATTTCACTCTAATACAGCTTAGCTTACAGAAGCGAAAAAATTCTGTTGCCATTTTGCATATAGGTAATCAAATTTTAGGCATTGTAAGGAAAGGGTTTGTGATTGTTCATATCACACTTGCCACAGACATTTAATCTGGCATTGTACTGTGAATGCAAAATATCTTTGTGACATCTGTTTGCACTTTTCACAAAGATTGAAGTATATGAACCCTGCATTGCACATTTTTCTCCTTCACACTGCAGGACCAAAGGAAAAAATACAAAATCAGCATCAGAAGGCCTCAATGTACTTTTTAGCTCATAGGACACGCAATAATGTTAGTTGCTCTGTCCTCACCTCTTACATTAGCTACAGTGAGGGTGAGCCAGGATCAAAACTCTCTCTCATGGGTTATCATTTGGCATCTTTCTGGAAATGTAATAAATCCAGCAACCGCAAACCTCAGCAGAATACCGAACAGGTTCTCACTCTATGCAGGAGGCTTTTGCCTTGTCAGATTGAATCTTTAGTATCCAAAAGTACAAGGTGTAAAATTTAGATTGAATTTATGATTTTTGGCGTGAATGCATCTTGTAATGCTTCCAAAACTTCACTTTTTAAATTTAAAACAATATAAAAGAGCACTACAATTGAGTTTATTTATTTCAAGCTTTTTTATTTTTATGTTGATGTCACTTGAATCACCTCCTGTCGACAGGAAATTAAAATTCTCCCTTATTTGGTCCGCTCAAACCCCGCCCCTTCCGGACAATCAACATCAAGCTGGCATTCAGATCTGCCTCCATCCAATCAACAACAGATGGATTGAACCAAGTCCCCACCGTCATTTATTTTATTTTCACTCAGATGTACCTCACAAATTAGATGAAAATATCTGCCGCTGCTTTCGTTTCATCACAACGTTAAATAAGTGTTCCCAAAAATAGCTGCCATTGGCCAAACTCATGCCAATGCTTGAGCCAGTGTTCCTGTGTCAAACTGGTTGGGATGCTCAAACAATCTGAACAATGTTGCAGTGTTTACACTTTTAGGGGGAATCAATCTGGGTGGCTTTTTTTGTAGTTTCTGCAAATTAAGCTGAGCAGGAGAAATGATGTTAACATCAAAAATTACGGTTAAGTTGACATGTACTGATAGTCAGTAGAATGTCTGTTGGGGGTGTTAGGAGAGTGTAAAAGTGTTAGCAGATATTAAGCAGAGAGTTACTAATACTCTAATGACTGGTAGTTGACATGTAGTTGCAAATTACTTTATAGTTACTTTGAAGTACTTTTTTAGTTACTTTATAGTTCGTAGAAGAATGTCTAAATTCGATATAAAGTGTTACCAAACTTACACATCACTTTTAAAGGAATTGTTTACTCAAAAATGAAAACATAATTTACTCACCCCTCATGTCGGTCCAACCCTGTGTGACCTTTACTTTCTTCTGCGAAACACAAAATAAGGTTTTCTGAAGAATGATTCAACTGTTTTTGCCTATTCAGTGGAATTCATGGGGTTTAAAACATTGAAACCCCACTGACTTTCATTAGGCCTATATGGACAAAAACACTGTTTTTCAAAACATCTCATTTTTGTGTTCTACAGAAGTTATACAGATTTGGAATTTAGTGAATTTAGTGTTTTTTAGTGAACTATCCCTTTAAACTACATATAGTGAAGGCTCTTAGCTAGAGTTTCAAAGGGCTCGCACAGCTCTAATCACAGTGCAGCATCTTTAATCTTTGGTCCAGGAACAGTG